AAGTGGCTACTCAGAGTAGAATGCAATTAATAGCACACACACTGATGACTCTTCTGGCCTGACTTGGTTGCTGCTGGCCTGGCGATGGCTCAGATCGATTTTCTGAGTTCAGTAGGCCCTGGTCTAGTTGGCCCAGATAAGGAAACTGAGGCATTGAGCAGTTAAGCAACTTACCTCAGCTCACCTAGCTAGTGGGGCCAGGATTCAAACCCAGGCAGCCTCTCTCCAGGGCCACACAATTAACAACCCTGAAAGAATATGTGCTATAATAGGGGTTGCATAGGGCCCTGCCATCACTCAAAAGGACCAGTGGCTCTATCTGGAAATATCAGGGAAGACTTCCTGGAGGAGGTGACTTTTGAGTGTACCTTGAGACTATCGGAGCCTGATTAAGTACATGGGCTTGCTAGTCAGCCAATATTCAAATCCTGGCTGTGTGACCTTGAGGAAGTTGTTTAACCTTTCATGGTCTCAGTTTCCTCATCTGTAAAATGGGGATAATAATGCTACCTACTCATAGGAATTGCTGTGAGGATTCCAGGTGATAGTGGATGTGAAGCACTTAGCACAGCACAGGAGACAGAAGCTGTGGTTAGCGTCATCAGCTTTGCAGGGTGAGAAGGCTCTCTGCTCCACCCATCTAGGGGTGGAGAGAGTAGAACAAGCCCCAGCATGGTACCAGGATGGGGAGCTCCAAACCCCCTGACCTGTGAAAATGGGAGCCAATGCTCTTAGATGTGGCTCCGAGGAGGGGCTGAGCTGAGCAGCCCCAATCTGGGACCAGGACTGAGAGCCAAACAGGGCACCCAGCAGTTCTGAGGCAGGGCAGACGGCCCTGCCCTGGGAGCTTACCTTGCGTGAGGAAGCCCCTTTCCTTCTTTGGACCTCACTCTTCCTGTCTGAGCAAGGAAGGGATGTCTCCTTCCCTCCGACTGAGCAGCAGAGTCCCATCTCGGATGTTCTAGGACACAGAGAGGGCAGATCTCTATCAAAGCCGGGAGAGAGGAAGGAGATGAGGGCAGTAGTTCACCCACCTAACTACTCACCCAGATCCCTGGTGTCATTCTTGTTAAACCACACGCTGTCCAGGCCTCACGGCCTCACTCCTGCAGTGTCAGAAGCAGGATGGTGGAGCCTGGGAATCTGCATCTTGAATGACTGCTCATGGCTTCTGCCAGGCTGCAGGTTGAGGAAGCAGCTGATGGCGGCTTTTGCTCTTGGGACTCTTACAGTCCGGGAGTTAATTTTGCCCATGCATCATCTATCTCAGGGCCCGCATGCCCCAGCCCCCGGGACAGTTGACCTCCAGGGTGGGTTGCCCAGCCCAGGCCACTATTTCCAGGAAGATGGATGGCCTGACCACTCAAGGGGACCATGGGACAGAGCTTACCACTCCTCCAGGCAGCTCCTTGCCAGGGCAATTAATCACCCCGTAATCACTGTGGGGAGGGAGCTTTTTCGCAGCTAATTAAAATCTCTCCGGCTGCAGTCGTGGCCTGTTTCCTCTAATTTGTGTTCTTTGGCGATGAGCAATGGCTGGTGAGGCATCCTTGCACATCGTGAAGACCGACCACTTGCCAAAGGGGCCTTGAGCCCTGTTACTTGCTCCAGTTTCTGTAGGCCCCCAGGGAGTCAGTCTGAGCCTGGGTTCCCGGGAAAGGGGAGAGGCTGGGGCAGCCATGGCCTGTCTTGATCTCTCCTGACTGGCACTGTAGGGGCTCAGGCTGTAAGAGTTGAACTGTGTTGATGCCCCAGAGGCTGGTCTCGGGTAGGTCTGAGCTGCCTGGAGAGGGAGGGCCTTCCTGGTAGGAGGGAGGAAAGAGAAGAGTCACCAGCAGGGGCTGGGAAGTCCTCAGTAGTGGACATGCTAGAAGGCAGCTTCCTTAGCCCTTTCTGGGGTCATAGGCCTTTCTGCAAAGCCAATGAAAGTTCCAATCCTCTCCCCGCAAAAAATGGACATATGATGCTGCGCACGTAGCCATGTGCCCCCTTCCAAGCCCTTCTCCCTTCTCAGCTCTCCAAAACCTTCCTTGAGGCCTAATCCAAACCCCACCTCCTCCAGGAAGTCAGCCATGACTTGCTCCCTCCTTGATCCACACCCAGGTGGGTCTCTGGGTACCTTCCTCCATCATGATTTTATTATATATATATTTTTGGGAGCTCTGGTGGTGTAGTGCCTAAGGCATTTGACTGCTAATCAGAAGGCTAGCAGTTCAAACCCAGTCAATTCTGACTTCTAATGATCCTGTGTGTATCAGATTTGAAATGTGCTCCATAGGGTTTGCAATAGCTGTTTTTTCAGTAGATAGCCAGGCCTCTTTTTCTGGGGTACCTTTGGGCAGATTCAAACCACCAAACGTGAGGTGAATGCATTAACCCTCTATGTCACCCAGGGCCTCCCTCCACCACAATGGGGTGTCCTTTGGGGACAAGCAGAAGAGGGTGGAGAAAGCACCCTTTGTGGAAGCAGCAGGTATCACAGGAGAGTGTTCTCCACATGGGGGACTAGGTCCAGCAATGGACCCAGGAGGACCAGCACCCTTCATCCGTGCTTTGTCCCATCTGACTTGGGCCTGCGCTCCACCCTAAGGTGCCCTGGAGCTGAGGGCCCAATTCCCGGGCAGCACGTATGTGCTTTCCTCTTCCTGTCCTCAGCCCCAAACCCACCCACCTGCCTGACCTGGCTGGGCTTACCTGGGGCCCCTGTCTGCAGCCTGAGCCCCTACAGCCACGACGATGGCAGCCCCAGCAACAGCCAGGACCACGCCCCTCTGGCCGCCCTGCCCCTGCTGGCCATCTCCTCCCCGCAGTACCAGGATGCTGTGGCCACGGTCATCGCGCGAGCCAATCAGGTCTATGGAGAATTCCTCAAGTCCCCTGACGGAATTGGCTTCAGCGGGCAGGTAGGACAGCCTGCCAGCCCCTCCCCTGTCCTGGTTCCTACCTGGGAGAGGGGTTGGAATCTACTGGAAGGATCAAGCCCAGGCTATTCTAGAGCCAAAGCATCTGAGATTGAGTGTTTTTTATTTAAATGTTTTATTGTGATTTGGGTGAAAGTTTACAGAGCAAATTCACTTTCCATACAGCAGCCCACTACTACATTGTCTCATGACTTTGACTTCAATTTCCCACAATGTAACAGCTCCCCTCCCACTTCCTCCCCATAGTTGCCTCTTCCCTGTGTCTGAAGGAGGCTTTTGAGATCTTCAAGTTTATCCTCATTTTACAGATAGGAAGACTGAGGCCGACAAGCTGAGTTATGGGTTTGAGCCCATGCCTGAGTCTGACCCTGATCCTAACCTGATCCCTGACTGCAGGCTGATGACCCCTCCCCCAGTGTGGGCTCTCTCTCACCTCCCTGGGACAGGCTCCTTCTTCTGGAAAGGCAGCCTCAGCTGGGGCTGAGGGGTGGGGGTCAACAGTGGGCCAGCCTCTAGCTCCTGCTGTGCCTCCTCCAGGTGTGTCTCATCGGGGACTGTGTGGGTGGCCTCCTGGCCTTCGATGCCATCTACTACAGTGCGGGGCCCTCAGGTGACAGCCCTGGAAGCAGCAGCCGGAAGGGGAGCATCAGCAGCACGCAGGTGAAGCCAGGTGGCGGCAGTGGGGGAGGGGTCCTCCTGGGGAGCCTCCCTAGCCCCAGCGGGGAAGGGGCCTCTTCTGTGTTAGACCTTCACATTTGCAGGGAAAATGTTCGGGTTACAAAGTATCCCATCCAAACCCTACCAGGGGAGGGAGAGATGATTGTCACAGGTGAGGAAACGGAAGCCTCCCAAGAGAAAAGCCAAACCTGACTCTGGTGACTCCATGTGTTACAGAGTAGAACTGTTCCGTAGGGTTTTCTCTCTTTTTAAAAAATTTATTTTGTATTTATTTTAATTTTTGCCATGTTCCTTCCCCTCCCCTCCTCTCCCACCCATGGTAATCAACAAAGAAAATTTCCTTCCATATATAAACCTTTCCTTGGCTTTTTGCAATAATGAACTAATACAATATTTATCCTTCTAGGGTTGACTTATTTCACTCAGTATACTGTCCTCCAAGTTCATCCACATTATGTGGTGTTTTGCAGATTCTAAATTATTCTTTAGTGTTGCATAGTATTCCATTGTGTATATGCAGTGTAGTTGGCTTATCTATTCTTCTGTTGATGGGCACCTAGGTTGTTTCCATCTTTTTGCTATCGTAAATGGTTCTGCAATGAACATGGGTGTGCATATGTCCATACGGTTTTCTTGACTGGAATCTTTTTTTTTTTTCCCTTTTTATTTATTTATTCCAAGTGATTTGGGTGAAAATTTACAGAGCAAATTTACTTTCCATACAGCAGTTCACATACACTTTGTCTCATGACATTGACCACAATTTACCCCAATGCAACAGCTCCCCTCCCACTTCCTCCCGATAGTTACCTCTGCCCTGTGTCCATCCCTCCATGCTTGACTGCAATCTTTATGGAACCAGATTGCCAGGCCTTTCTTCTGCAGCACTGCTGTGTGGGTTTGCGCTGCCAACCTTTAGGTTAGCGGCTGAACGTAGACTGCTTGCACCGCCCAAGGGCAGTTCCTCACGTTCCCCCATTATTGCACTGTGACTTCCGCAGTCCTTTTGGAAGACCTATAGCCTCTCACATCTTAGGAGAAAGGGGTTCATGGTGCCCCTGCTTCTCCGTGGGGGAGGAGGCAGGACCTGGAGCCTACAGTGACAGCCATGCTCTCCTGCGGCTTCTGCTTGGTCCCAAAGGACACCCCCATCGTGGTGGAGGAGGACTGTGGGCTGGCCGGCAGCAAGCGGCTCAGCAAAAGCAACATTGACATTTCCAGCGGCTTGGAGGATGAGGAGCCCAAGAGGCCATTGCCACGGAAACAGAGTGATTCCTCCACCTACGACTGTGAGGCCATCACCCAGCATCATGCCTTCCTGTCAAGGTAATGCCCCTCCCTGCCTCTGCCTTCTTTTTAGCCAAGCATCCTTGGAGAGAGGGCCTTGGGCGCAGAGTTATTTGGGAGACCTGTGACCAGCCACCTGTCCAGGCCCTTCCATGGGAGCCACATACAAGTACTGACATGTACTTGGAAGGGGCCAAGGCCATTTCCCACTGGCCCTGCACCAGCCCTTCCTGCACAGAGAACCAGGTCCCTGCACTGTGGCTTCTGTGCCAGAAGGACCGGGCACAAGCTCTTTTATCTCTCAGAGCTTCAGTTTTGTCTTCTGCAAAGGGGCAAATACGGGATGGTTTTAAGAATCTGGTGAAATAACAGATGTGTGGGAGGTGTGTGAGCTACCCCAGGTGTGTCTGATTATTTTTCCAATGAGGAAACCAGGGCCCAAGAAAATGAAGAGCCTTCCCAGGATTACACAGCCAGTTCCCACAGTCATGCAGTCGACTCTGACTCACGGTACCCCTGTGGGTCAGAGCACAATTGTGCTGCCGAGGGTTTGCAATAGGAGCTCTGGTAGCATAGTGCCTAAGGCACTTGACTGCTCACCAGAAGCCTGGCGGTTCAAACCCACCAGCCACTCCTCGGAAGGAAGGTTGAGCAATCTACTTCCCTAGTGATACTGCCTTGGAAACCCAAGGCGGGGTTGTTATGAGTTGGGTCCGACTCGATGGCACATAACAACAACAACACAGGGTTTTCAATGGCTGGGATCTTAAGCATATTACTAGGGCTTTCCTTCAAGACATCTCAGGGTAGACTCAACCTCCAACCTTTCAGTTAGCAGCTGAGCACATGAACCGTTTGCACTATACGCAGTCGGAGGACTGGTCACCCCCGACCCTCCATTCCCAGCTTGGTGCTTCCTACACAACGTTCTTTTACTTGTAGGCCAGCAGGCTCCTCCACAGACCTGTTCACCCTTGAACTTTCTAGAGAGACATGTTAATCAACATGGGTTAAATGAATTATCTGATATGAGTGGGTGCTGAGCACGGAGCCAAATGGGAAGGACCCTCTTTCCATCTTCCCCCTCCTCCACTCTCTCCTCCCTTCTTCCCTCTTTCCTTCTTATTCAAGCAATAAATATCATGAGGTCATGACATCATTTAGAAAATATATCATAACACCTCCCAGAAGGACCTGCTATTAACACTTTGGAGTGTTTCCATTCAGCATTTTTTTCACATGCTTTGCATATAGTTTCTCTTTAAAACCAACAGCAGCAATACAACCCTGTATATTGTGATATTTTCCCCATATAATTAAAAATACTTGATAGATATTCTAGGGAGCTCTGATGAGGTGGTGCCTAAGGCACTTGACTGCTCACCAGAAGGCTGGCGGTTCAAACCCACCAGCCACTCCTCAGAAGGAAGGTTGGGCAATCTACTTCCGTAGTGATACTTGCCTCGGAAACCCAAGGAGGGGTCATTATGAGTCAGATCCGACTCGACGGCAGTGAGTTTGGTTTTGGTTTTGGTTTTGGTTTTTTGGTAGGTATTCTTAAAGGAGGGCAGTGGTGGTTTAGTGGTAGAATTCTCCCCTTCCACATGGAAGACACGGGTTCGATTCCTGGCAATGCATCTCAGGCAAAGCCACCACCCGTCTTGTCAGTGGGGACTTGTGTGTGTTTGCTCTGAAGTGGAACAGATTTCAGCAGAGCTGCCAGACAAAGGTGGAGCAGGAAGAAAGGCCTGGCCATCTACTTTTAAAAATCAGCCCCTGCAGACTCTGTGGGTCACAGAGTTTGATCCCTGACCGATCCCGGCAGAAGTTTGTTTGTTGTGCGTGGGGCCACATGAGTCAGGGGCTGACTTGATGGCAGCCAACAATAACAGATTTTCTTAATGGCTGTATAATAGTCTATTTCGTGAATGGACAGCAGTTTATTTAATCAATCCCAGTAACTGGACGCTTTGGCTTTTTCTAATTCTTCACTATTAAAAAGAGTGCATGCATGCTTATGTGTATGTTAAGGTTATTTCATTTAGACAGATTCCTGCAGGAGGAATTACTGGGTCAAAAGCTCCACCTATTTAAATCTCTGACTATTTAAAGTCCCACTGATAGATTATCCCTTAGAAAAGCAGCTACCTTCAAGTCAGGGTGACAAGGTGACAGGCTCTGGTTCCTCCTTGAAAAACACTTTAGGAAAGCCCCGAAGGTGGAGATTGACAAGAAGTTGGAGGCTCTTGGTCACTGGTCCAACACAGCCAGCTTTCCCTCTGGTGGAGGGACAGATGGTGGCTTCTTTGGCAATTAAGTAGTTGGCGTGTGTTTAGGGACCACGCTGTACATGAAATATGTATTGTTAAACACCAGAGTCATCCTTCTTGCTGGGAGCTGCTCACACTGTGAGCAGGAGGGAGTGTGGCTGCTGAGGATTCTACTTTCTGGACTCTTGAGGGTGCTCTTGGGGTGGGAAGGCAGATGGGGACCCTTCCCACACTCTTTAAATTGCTGTTTCTAAAAATCTCTTGGTCCTCAGAGTCTAGCATTTTAGTTAAGTTTGAATTCCATTATTCGAGGCATTGGTGCTTTCATGGTAGAGTTCTTGCCTTCCACATGGGAGACCCGAGTTCGATTCCCAGCCAGTGCACCATAAGGGCAGCCCCCACCCGTCTGTCAGTGGAGGCTTGTGTGTTGCTCTGATATGGAACAGGTAAGATGGAGCGGGAAGAAAGGCCTGGTGATCTACTTCTGAGGATGAGCCAGGGAAAGCCATAAGGATCATGGGGGTCCAGTCTGCAACTGATCACAGGCCTGGCACGGGGCCAGAGAGGGTTTTGTTCTGTTGTGCGTGGGGTCACCGTGAGTCGGGGTTGAGTTGACAGCCGCTAACAACAACAGATTGATTCATATATAATGTAGCTCTGTTGTGGTGTCTGAAGCTCTGAGCTGTACTGAAGTGCTGGCAGGAAGATTAGGGAGGGCCCCTGCTATCCTCCTGGTCCTCAGCAGCCCGCTCTGCATCTGGGTCAGAGTGTCTGTTTGGATTCTTTTAAGATACGTAGAGCCCTTGGGATGGGATTGGTTGGGTCTCCATGTGCCTCTCGTGTTTTCTCTTAAGCTCTGCCTCATCTGCAGGCTGGAGGTGAGGGGAGACCAAGATGTTTATATTTGTGACTTGCAACTAAAACCCTAATGCTAGCAGGGCCTACATTATCCAGGTGGTCTGTGTCTTGTTCAGGTTGGGCGTCTCTGGTGGATGGTGTAAAGTGGCAGTGTGGCCATTGAAATCCAGCTTGCTGGAGGAGGAGACCTAGGTGTGGGGCGACCCTGACACCCAACTGTGTTTCCTCCCTTCCAGCAGGGTGTCAGCAAACTACTGCCTGGGGCTAGATCCCGCCTGCAGCCTGTGTTTATAAATAAAGTCTTATTGGAACACAGCCATGCTCATTCATTTACCACTCAGTGGCTCCGTGGGAGAAAGACTTGGTAACCTGCTTCTGCATAGATTACAGCCAAGAAAACCCAATGGGGCAGCTCTGCTCCTCACCTGGAGTCACTATGAGTTGGAATCAACTCGATGGCACCCAACACAACATGGCTGCTAGCAGAGTCCCTGGGTGGCACAAACAGTTAAGTGCTTGCCTACTAACTGAAAGGTTGGTGGTTCAAAGTCTCTCAGAGGCGCCATGGCAGATAGGTCAGCTGAGGAGCACAGTTTTACTCTTCAACACATGGGGGCGCTATGAGCTGGAATAGACTTGTAGGCAGCTGATTTGGTTTTTGTTTTTATGGCTGTTTTCATGTTACAGTGGCAGACCTGAGTAGATGGGACAGAGATCATACAGCCCACAAGCCTAAAATACTGACTTTCAGGCTCTTTGCAGAAACAGTTTGCCCACCTGCCTGCATACAGTGTTGGCCAGGCCTTCCTGGCCAATGCCAAGATTGTCCCTGATTCTATTGACGGTGTCAGGCACGTTGACTCTGGTTCCCAGCCCTTTCCCAGTGACAGAGGGGCTGGACCCTCCAAACTCCGCCTTCAGCCTCTGAGTGAGCATTGCCCCCTCTCTGTCCTCTCTCCCCTCCTCCACGCCTTCTTCTTGCAGCATCCATTCGAGCGTGCTGAAGGATGAGGCTGAGCTCCCTGCGTCTGGGGCCCCGCTCCCTGAGGTCAGCCTGGGCCGCTTCGACTTCGACGTGTCTGACTTCTTCCTCTTCGGCTCACCCCTGGGCCTGGTCCTGGCCATGCGGAGGACAGTGCTGCCTGGGCTGGACGGTGGGTGTGGCCTGAGATGTCTGGTGTCATTAGGCCACCATAGAAGGCCACAAAACTCGGGGAGCTGGAGGTAGGGAGGGCACTGGTGGGGAAGGTCATAGAGTTGGGGTAGATAGAGAGGAGTTGGGGAGAGCAATTGGGGGTGCAGAGTGGGGAGAGGATGGAGAAGGGCCAGTCCCCCCTGATAAGACAGAGGCGAGATAGCCCCTGATGGATCTGGCTGTCCTTGTCGCATATCCCTCACCAATTAATTTGTGGCTGCATTGTCAACTGTCATTGTCAACTGTCATGCCCTATGGGAAGAGAAAACCCAAAGCCACTGCGATCCAGTTGATTCTGACTCCTAGTGACTCCCACTGGGTTTCTAAGACTGTAAATCTTTATGGAAATACATTGCTTTATTTTCCTCCCATGGAGCAGCTGTTGGGTTTGAATCACTGACCTTCTGGTTAGTAGCCAAATGCCTTAGGCACTGTGGCACCAGAGCTCCACCAATATTCACCCTACTGCAGTCCATATCGCTCCTTCCCCAGTACCCAGGCAGACCCACTGAGGCCAGGTTGGTCTCACTGGCACCCCATATATGTAAGCCCACCTCAGTGCCTTTGCTCATGCAGTGCCTGCAGCCTTGAATGCCTTCTCCCATCCTGCTAAGGTACACAAGTGAAGCAGATTTAGTCTAGAACC